CAGTGGTGTATCCATGTACAAGGGCATTGAATTATTTCATGTGCATAAACATCAAGACATCTGCTTCCCAAGATATGCCCCTAACTTCATCCCCAGGGCCAAGAAACACTTTGGGCTCCCCTCAATGAAGACTCTTGAAGCACCTGGGCTATAAGCAAGTCACATAGGCAAGAAGTATTGGATGATTACATGAGTGATTCTAATTAGAAGAAGCTTATATGAATGAGTAGATCCCGGGCTTTTGTGACTAAGTGCATGCCTAGTCCTGGTGCTTTGCAAGAAGTTCAAAAAGGTTCAACAAGGCTTGCCATCAAGCAAGCTTGCATTCAAAAACATTACTTCCACTACAGACTCTAAGAACACAGAGGCTTGGATTGCCCAGGAAAAAAAGGCATAGCAAAACCGGCTGCATGAAGAAGACACCATGGATATTTATGATGTCTATAGCAAAATTACCCAGAAAAGCAGAAATCCAGCTGCATTTATCACAACAAGAAACAAGAAATAGAGTGGTCCAAGGAACCGCTGCTTGGTTATTGGTGGGTCTGAAGTTGGAAGAGACTGAGTTAGTCCCCGGGCCCCCAGGATCCCGGGAATACATACTTTTTGAATACTGATTAACTCTACCTAACAGGATATAGCTGCAGATGTATGCAAAACAAATCAAAAAGGAAAACTGGAGTTAGAGGAAAGGTGTCAACACCTGCTCTCCCGTATAGATGCTTTCAACCTCAAGGTTGAAAGGTATCTAGGTGATATCAATTTTGTTGAGTTTCTTGAGAAGGTCCTGGGGTGGCCAAACTGTGATAAAGACAATAATGCAGAAGACATGGATCTGTTTGACCTCCTGGGTTCCTTTGATGGCGATGATGAGTCCATTGAGAGGAAAAAATTGGTGTTACCCTTTAACTTAGGAAAAGGCACTTGCAAAATCAAAGGCCTACACCATCTAGTAACTAAGGAGCTTACACTCCGGGAAGGTCAGGCCAACGATACCTTGCATCAGATATGTATTCTACTGGTCAAAATTTATATCTGTTCAGGACAAATGTGAGAGTGGCCCAGGGCTCTCAAAAGAAAAAGTTGAAGGCTTGGGCAGAGGTTACCAACATGGAAGCTGATGTCAAAGTCCACTCAGCCATATATAAGAAAGACCAGCATGCAATCATATATCTTTGGTTCCGGGCAGAAATATGACAAAAATATCAAGAGCTTAAACCAGACCACCTCAAGACAAGTAACCAGCTTATAAATCCCAATGCAACTGGACTCCACAACACTGCATTGCCATGGTTTTGAAGCATGATTCTGAAAGGTGACACCTCCCAACAGACCTGGATGTCTGAATGTATGTGCCCCAGCCTGGTCACGGTTTCATGGTATCAAACAGCTAACATTTAGTATTAAAATACAGTTTACTGGGTTCATAAAAGCCATGTACAATAGATGGATAGAGAAGACATTCTGGTGCATCTCAAGATGAAGTAGACAGTTCAGTACTTTCAACATCAAACTAAGTGTTGCAATGGTTTTTGAGATGCCAATGAAATGGAGGCTAAACCCAGTCATGTAGCATATGCATAGAGGCAAATCAGGATGTGGAACCATGTCTCAGAACAGGCAAAAGACTCATTCCAGAGGCTAGGCATAGTGGTTTGAGGAATAACTAGAACAGAGGACCAATGAATAATACCACAATTTAATAGATACCCGGGGTCCATTATACTATGTAATAGTAGTCCAGTATTCCCGGGCTTTGTAGCAGTTAAGTACTCCCAAGCTTTGTAGTAATACAAAATTCCCGGGCTTCTACTAGCTCCTAGTATCCAACTACAGTGTGCCCGGGTTTCACCCTTTTTATTGAGCAATCTACTATGAAAAGCTACAAACTTGCAGCACTGATGTACCCAGATCAAGGCAGTTCTGCTGTTATTCCACATTTATAACTGCATAACATGATCATGTGAAGGTCCTGACCATCCCGGGGTCTTCACCCTGCATATTGTATGTATATACTCCCTCATGTAATATGCAAAACATATTCTCTCGCCGCTGCAGGGTGAAACCCCATGATTCAGCAACTTTGCACTAAATGCAGCTATAGTCCCACTATGAAACTTGAAGCAAAAACTTGCCCCGGTGAGCTCCAGAATGGCCTCACCATAGTCTCCTATGCTTGCCAACATGTTATACCACTCTGCTTTGGAGAGACAATCCCCGTGTACTCGTGTCTCCTGGTTGCTGATGATAGATAGCACATTGAAGACTGAGCTCCATGACTTGAGTACTGTCACATTATCCATATGGTCCTCAACCCGTACCAGCGCCTCCCGGTGTCAATGATGAGAACTGTTGTTATAAAACCACACACAAAAACAAACTAACACACAATCCTCCCAGATTCCATGGAACTTGTTTATGGGCTTTGCCTCCTAGAACAGTGGGTGCTCTGGTTGTTCGTGAGGTGGTATGTATAAGGATCCTTCGAAGTAAAACCCAGAGATGTATGGGTGTGGGTTTTGAGGAGGAGGGATAGTTGGAATATAGAAAGATAGGGGCTTTGTGGTGAGTATAGATGAGCACTACCTTGCTAATTGTAGCACAAGGTAGGTTTGAGAACGACAATATGATGAGGTTCCCAGTGATAGCAGGCTCCTGACGCACAGACTGTAGTGCTCAGAAGGACTCTAATTGAAAGGGATGACAATGACTTCAAAAGTGGGAAGTGACGATAACAGCAGTTGACAGTGGTAGCAGTGGGAAGTGTTGTGACCACACTGGATCACAAGCAGCAGAGTAGTGAACTTGAAATTAGAGAAAAAGTCTGGAATGGAGTTCTTGTTGTTTTTTACAAGGTAAAATACAAGGGTTTATATAGTAAAAGAAAAGTAGGCTATGCACAGTATAGCTGTGCAAAAAAAATGAGAAAGAACATGAAGGAAGGAATGTATGCTGACGAATCCTGCGTAGGTAGTACAGGATAAGATTGTCAAAAAAGGAAAAGAAAGGGATAGAACAATGAATGCTGTGAGTAATGTCACAGGTTTGTACAGCCATAAAGTAAAGTCCAATAGCAAAAAGAGAGCAGGAAAATCATGATGTCATGGGAAGATACAGGTAAAAAAAGAGCAAGGCAAAACACTATCAGTATCAACACAGTTCCTTTATTGTCAGTCAGGCATTCTAAAAAAATATGTGTCCATAAAAATGATTCAAAAATCAAAAATAATCACACTGTAAATGAATGTTCTGCTGAAAAAAAAGAAACTGGAGCCACCGGTCCACCACCTGGTCCAAATCCGACAGTTCCATGGCCTTACCAATGGACTGGTTGTGTTGGACCACCTGATCAAACGAGGGAGGGAGAGGAGTAGTTCTAATTTGGAACAAGTGAGTCCCAGGCAGCGTGTGGTAGGTGTAGCTGTAGCAAAGACAATGGACAAAAGATAAGTGTACCCAAGTAAATGGGACAGCGATGAACATGGGTGATGCAAGGGGATGAACCTTTTCCAGCTCAAAAACTACCCACCCACGCTCCAACCAGGCAAGACGAGCGACCGATGTTTTGATAGTATATAATAGCAGATTGATGTCATGAAGATGGACCTGTTGCCCTATTTGGACCGGCCGCCGGGGCTTTGCTGATATCAGCAGTGGCACGTGGTAGTCAACGGATTGGCGACGGAAGTGGATAGGAAGTGGTGACATCAGAAATGGTGGGGGTGCAAATAAGATAAGGAGGAGGAGGGTGGAGGTGACGAAAAAGTGGATTAGAATGGGGATCCAGAAATGACCGTCAGGTGAGAATAAAAAGGAGAGGAAGGGGCCCATGGTGGGGCTGGGCAAAGGAAGGGGAGTAAGGGACAAAAGCGAGGGCGCAATGCAATGTGTAGCCAGTGGCGACGCGAAAATTTGCCAAAATGCCAAAATGCAGAAAGTACCGAATGGAAAAGCAAAGGTGAGCGTGACTGGATTGCCTAATAGAGGTGGTGCTGATCAGCCACAAGTTCGAAAAAGGCAATATTAATTACTATTCCACGTGGCACTGTGCCTGTGTGGCGCAAAGGTGAGTCTTTTTGAATATTTGCTTTGTTATTGACACCTGTCCATGCTACCAATCAACTTTGGTGCATGACAACGCACCTCGTTTATCTTGGGCGATCTTGTGATTGATGGCATGAATAGCATCAAAGGCCCTTAACCAAGATGTAACAACGGAAGCTTGGAATTGAGGTTCCACAATCTTGAATTAGTTGCAACCATTGAATTCATCATCTGATTCATCACTTGACATTCCATTGGGTCCCAACTGTTGGAGGATTTTGACGTGACAGTGAAATGCACCTTGGAACATATTGTCTGTGGCAACGTCCAGCCAATGGTGAAAATGAAAAAACTTCCCATATGTTAATAAATTATCCCTCATATTTTTAAAAAAATTGAATGTACTGAATGCTTCTGTTGCATGCAATTTTCATGCACCACGTGTAGCTTCTTCTCTTGAGCTGATTTAGACAGTCTTTCCCATTTTGCCTTAAGGCCCTTGACATGCATATGAAACTGGTGCATGATGGTTTGCAGTGCCACATATGTTTTATCAATGCCATGAAATGAAAAAAAGTCATCTGCAAACACATGTGCCGCAAACTTATTCCATGGGCTCCTGGGTCCAGAGACAATGTCAATACGTAAGTGGTCCACAGTACAGCAAACAAGACAGGCAAGGCCCTTTTCCATGCTGGCCTTCTATGTTGCCGCAAAAAGTTTCAACTCCACTGTAGTTACCATCAAAGTGAGTTTGGACGTGCCAAGAAGCCTGTTGATGTGAGATGCAACTGCATGCTGTTACCAATATTAGCATTTGTAATCATAAAGTATGTATAAAAATACAGCAATTATTTTTGAGATATCTGGTTGGCAGACAGGATGCCTAGTAAGCTTAAAATTGAGCTTTGAACAAAACACATCGAGACCAGCAGGTTCTTCTTGCAAAGTGCAATCTACACCAAACCCCTCAACTGCTTTTTTGAAGTTGTTGGGGTAGACTCCTTCACCAGATTGTTTTCTCTTGAGGGACTATCCTCCGCCACTTGGTTGTTCCCATCATTTTCATCATCAGCGTCCATATCCTCTTCCATATCCACCTCCTTCTGTATCACCTTGTTGGCGTCCATATCCTCCTCCATATCTATCTCCTCCCCCATCTTCATCTCCTTGTCATGGTCAGCCTCATTAGCATGGTTGGTGGGTTCACTTTGAGTGTATTCATTGGGACTAGTATTGGGTCCGCAGGGTGGTGCAAAAAGGCCGGAGGCTGACACGTCATCTTGATGACCAGCAGATACAGACCTTACATGGAGGGATTGCAATAACTACCAACAGTAGTAAATTCAGGAAAAGGAGGCTGCGTGGAGGGTGGTTTCTTGGGGATTGGTCATAGTGTTTGATCCTCGTGATGTTCCACAGAAAGTTCAATAGGGAAAAAGAGGGGGGTGCAGATGGTGGGGAGTGAATGATCATATCTTCATGGAGTGGGTGTTTCCTTGACATTTCCCAGAGGTTGTTTGGTGCATATTGGTGAGCTAATAGTTGGCAGCGGCATAGCAGGTGTTGTAGGAGCAGGTACTTTCTCCTCCGGAATATCTAGATAATGAAGAAATTAATAGTCAACAGTTGGGAGATGAGATGAGAAGAAAACATACTGAATGCTATGGCGGAGGATGGAGCTTTCGAGATGACCAGGGAGAATATCTATCTTTGTGCTTGGGATAATGGTCGGCCATGCATGATGTAGCGGATGTTTTGGAAGGGGATAGTTTCTCTTGCAAGATGTCTGAATAAACCATGATAGATACATCTAATAGAATAAAATACCTACAAGATGCTGCGTGGAGGATAGGATCCGGCTGGTATTGCAAGCTCGAGTCTGCTGCAACAGCAAGTTTGTAGAGGTGGGATCGGACAGACTGGCTGTGCAGAGATCTGGTGGTGGTTGGTTGTGAATGTATGTTTGAAGGCTCACATGCACTTGGAGGAGAAAGGCTGGGATTTGGAGAGCCATGTGCAGAATACATTAGGTATCCCTGAGAATTTGCAACTTGGGCTGCGGTCTCCAAGTGATCTGGTTGACATTGAGATAAATGCTGGATTGAAGCTCACCAGATTTCCCTTTGTTTGTGGAGCTTAGTTCTCGCATTTCCTGGCTTTGGTTTGCATCTAATATTATATGGTTAGTGTGAGACTACATACATCAACACTTGCACTTACGCGTAGACGAATACGAAGTAGAAAGTATAGTTGCATCTAGACCAACCAAACTGAGAGGCACTAAGCTCAACTACGTGGTCCACTGGCATGGCTATCCAGTCTCAGAGTGTACTTGGGAACCCGACACCAACCTTACACATATCTCCAATTTACTTGCAACTTTCCACAAAACGCATCTCACCACCCCTTGCATCATCACCGCTTCTCTTCACTTCCGTCCTTACAAAAATTACATCGCGACTTCTAAATCTCCGATGCTTTTTAATTAGATTACCAACAAGTTCCAATGTGCCGCTTCCGGACTCATGAGGACACAAATCTTATAAAAGGGGAGCTAATATGAGGAATCAATTTTTCTTATCACATTCCCATCTTATCTGGTTATCCGATTTATTCCCTGTCCCTCCTCTTGCTCTTGGACTAGAAATCACGGCTGGCATTCTGTTATTCTTTTTTTTTTTCTTTTTTTTTTCCATTCATACTCACGTCCTATTGTATTTACAACAAAGAAGGACGGCTGTAGACCCTTGAGAAGATATCCAGATGACATAGCGATGATCCAATGCTGTGTCTGGGAATACTTCGGAGGAATATTGATAAGCAAGGCAGCCTATGAATCAGCGCCTTCTCATGGGCTTACTGATACAACCTATTATACACCTTTTTTCAACAAACCTTTGGTAGAAGTTGCCTAAGCCAAGGAAAGTCCAACCTAAGATTAAATTAATCTTCTACCAATACTAATAAATCTATGTGAAACTCAGCCGCTGCCCAAGAGGCTATAGAAACGACTGTATTATTTACCTATGTGAAACTACAATTAATGTTAGTTTAAGGTGATCTCTAATAAATGTAATGTAACATACCTCAGCCGCTGCCCAAGAGGCTATAGAAACGACTGAGGTATTTCTATACTAAGCCCCCTACTACTTATAGTCAGAGGTGCTACTCGCTACAGTATAATGACTCCTAGGAGAACAATGGTGACTCCATGGAGAACAATGGCTGCTTCGGCAGAGACCGGGTTTATCCGGTTTTGTCAAATACTACCTCTCATGTGATTAGTAAGTACTATAGATCAGACCACTTTCTCTATCTTTTCTTATTGGTTAGTTGGTTGGTCAGACCACTTTCTTAACTCTTCCTTCTTTCGGTCTAACCGTTGCTGTTCACTATATAAGGAAGTACATACTCGATGTATTATTCCTTAGTTCAATATTAGTTTGGATTTGCGCTTATACCGATACTCTTCAACCTCAGTACTCTGATTCACCACCCTCTTCAGGGACTTAACCAGACATCTGTTGTTGTTATATAGCTTTGTATCTATTGCCTGACAGAATATTGAACTCACTCACCTTTGAATCCTTTGCCAGAGCAAACCTTTGGAAGACCATCTTGTTATATCTCAAAAAGACTGTCGTTGCCTTTGCACTGGTCTAAACCCTTATTGTCACCTTCTTTATACCTCCATCATCCCTATCCCTCTCCTCACCCTCGCCATCGACCTCTTACTATCTATACCACCACACTTATCACCGTCCAATCCCTTCAAACTGGAAATCTCATCTACCATCACCACTCTCGTCCAATTCCTCGTACTCTTTGCCATCATCCAATATCTTCAGACCGAGCTCGTCAGCGACATTGTTTACCTTCACCGTGTCTACATCCCAACAGCACTCAGAAGAGTGGGTGTCAGAAGCGGACCGCAGACACCAGAGAGATTTCCTCGCAGCCCTCAACAAGCCGCTCCCGGTCCTCCCCATCCCTACCGAAGCCCATACCCCAGACACAGAAGAAACGGTCAAACAGATCACTGAACTTTATCAAAACTTCTCTGCTTTGTCTTCTCCAATCGATCCAATTGGGGAGATCATCCTCGACATAAATGACACTCTTGCTCTCACCCAATCCATATTTTACCATTCCGCCATCTGTAGGAGAAATTCTAGGAGCCTCAAGGAGGTACTCCAACGTCTCCGGCAAGGCACGGAGAGAACTTTTAATCTTCATATTCCTGCAGCACGGACAAATTCCGTTGAGCGACTACTTTGAGAGTCTAGTACGCCCGAGTTACGAGAACACTCTGCCGTTTGTGAGGTGGCACTCCAGGAAGTTGGTTACCATTACTGCTGTTTATGGCGGGCTTGTTTACAGGTGCAGCTACTGTGTCCGAGTTGTTGTTTTTTGTGTTAAACTCATCCAAATCTTCTGCAGCATCACTGGAGAGATCTGAAAGATAACCAACAAAGTTGTGAGAACGAGATTCCGGCACATCAGGAGTGGTTACTGTGGGAGGAAGCGGCTCTGGTGAAGGGGCTGCTGCTTGACTTGAACCCTTGCCAATAACAAACATCTGGCGCATCATTGCAACTTGGGGATTGCTACTGACTCAGACAGTCCAGGTGAGTAATTTCAACAATTAATATCTGAATATTGACCTCACTCACAACGTTTGTGCCGCTTCACAAGCTTGTTCATGTTCACGTGTTTCTTTTGCGTGACGTTGCTGTGTACTCTGTGGAATGCCTGTATATCCAAAGGCTCAGTTCTTCTCTACCTTCTGCCATGCTGTGGCTGTCTTTGGTGCAGCATTTTTTGTGTATCCGCTCTGCAAATTCTCAACCTCATCATTCAGCACCTTCAGGTTTGCCTCCAGGTCACTCCCTTCCAATTCCTCCAAGCTTTCATCAACAACTGACAGTCCTTCATCATTAAAAGGTTCATAGTCACTGCCTGAATCATCCCAGATGCAATTGACACCACCCTCATATCCGCAGTCAGAATCAGAGTCGGAACCAATGGCAGTTGGTGATGCTGTATGTGGGACACTGTCTGGAACAGCGGGTGCGGTACAAATGAGATTCTGCTGGGGGATATTGTCAGAGGAGGACTGAGTTCTTTTTCTAACTTATCCCAGCTCTTGCACAAGCAGCAGCGTCTTTCTGGTGCTTTTGGCCATCAAGGTGAAGGTTTCTTAGTACTAAAAACGCCTCTTCAGACTTATACATTCTTGGATCCAAAATATGCAGTTGAGTTCACCGAGATCAGAGCACCTCGAGCATGTTGGAAGCCTAGCTACGGTTAGTGCCTCAATATAGGGTTAGGGTTACATCCAACTTCGTCGATTTAGCGCCTGGACAAATGTAGCGGCCTCTAAGTGAACCGCACCATAGATGGTCATGGACGAGATTAATTTCCTCAATGTGCTCTTTTACCAGGCGAGAGAAAGGCTGGCAATACTCGAGGGTTCCATGATAAGGCCTAACGTCTCGATTGCAAATTCCCTCAGTACTGTAAACACAGCTGAAACTTGGATTCAATGACTTCTCAGCAGGTTTTGGATCAAGTGTTTAACGTATCAGGGTAAATAGAAAGATGCATGAATTAACAGTTACATCCATAACTTTGTGTGCTCTCCCGGTCAATCTGTATAGGATCAGGATAGTCCACATACCTTCAGAAATATGACTTAAGCACGAGGTCAATGCATTAAAATATGAGACCCACAATTGTTCTTCAGTTTCTTGCTGCAGCGCGTTTTTCGCTACAGTTTGGAAAGCTTGTTCAACATTTATAGCTTCCTTCGCGGAAGTTTCAAAATAAGGTATATTGCCTTTCGATTGGCACCATGTCATAGCACGCTTCTGGGTGACCTGTATGTATGGAAATATGTGATAAACATCTATGTGATTAACCTTGACGCACCTGTCTTTTGTTTTCTTCTACATCGATCTTGTTTCCAAGGACCACAAAAGGAAAACTTTCCGGGTCGTGAGGACTAGCTTGGATAAGGAATTCGTCACGCCAACTGTCTAATGTCTCAAAGGACTTGGCGCTGTTAACATCATACACTAAAACACAGCAATCTGCTCCACGATAGAACGCCACACCAAGAGATTGGAAACGTTCCTGACCAGCTGTATCCCATAGCTGGCAGTTAAAATCAGCTACAGTAACAACTTAAATCCGGGCAGGATAGATTTCACCTGCATGGTAACAAGTCGATCATCTACCACAACTTCTTTCGTCAAACTTGGAAGAGAATACTTCAGAGAAAGACAACGATATGAAATGTTGTCACGCACAAGTCAGCACCAATAGTTGCTTTATACTGGGTGCTAAACCGTTTGTTGACGTATTGATTCATGAGTGAAGTCTTCCCAACCCTGAGGTTTGCGGGAATAAGAAACGCTGAGCAGGAAAGAAGGGCTGAAGATGTTATGAACAAACCCGCTGTCTCCCAAGATGATAACCTGCAGACAATCCTCTTGATTAATAACTATTGTCTGCACTCAGATTGCTTTCATATACCTTTAGAAGTACACGTCCCATTTATGCTCTATCACTCCCTTAATAACGATATGCAGACGTTGCGTTGGGTAGGAAAACAGTATTGAAAACACTTCACGAAACAGGAGGCGAAGTAGCCCAGGACTTTGAATCTCCGCTTGAAGACTGAGTGACTCTCTTTCAACCTCATCTGAACCATGGGGGCACCTTCTTGGCAGGAAAAACTTCGCTTGCGAATGGTAGAGCGCAATGCAAGAGAATCTGTATACGCGTCTGTGATTGAACAGTGTACGTCTGACAATGGACTTGGCCAATCTCAAGTGGAATCTCATTCAATTGTCAAGATCGAAGACTAGCACAGCAAACTAAACTACTAAAGGAGCGCAATGCGTCTCTGCTGAAGGCAGTAGGGTCTGTTCGCGCAAATACAAATAGTTCAGTGCCTGTCGTCCCAGGAGCAGACGCTGAAGAGTGCGCTATGAAGTTTGTGGCACATCGAAAAGCTTACTGAATTTTAGTATATTTAGCTATCCGGTTCGAGCAGCCTATATGGCCTCACTCGAGTCTCAAATCTCATCACTTCGTGACGAACTAGCAACAGTTTACAAAACGCAGGGCCAGAATGCTCAGCGTCTTCTAGCAATGAATGAGACTCTAAGGGAGAAAGAGGAGCTATGTCGTTCTGACTCGGAGAATTTGAGGCAAGCACGAGAAGAAGTTATTATGTTCAAGCGGAAAGTAGACCAACATAATGAGCTTATGTTAGAGAAAGACCGGACGGCTCAGGTGAACCAGGTGATATTCTTGCAGATGTTGCCATTATCGCTGAACGTGATGACTTCCAGATACTACACGACGAAATAAGTACATTGCAGCTTGAACTTGGGCAAATCGAAGAACGTAATCAGATGCTCACGAAAGACAACGCAAAGCTTCTCCAGCGGTGGCTCGACGATAAGCAGGCTCAGGTAAACAGGATGAACGAAGCGAATGAATTTTATGAGGACATGCGTTCAAGGCATCAAGCCGTGCTTAACTGGATGGATAGTGATTCTGACAGTCGCATTACGGAGCACAAAGAGAGAGGGGGGAATATCGATATAGATGCCAGTACTTGTGACTGCATTATCGACAACGGGAACGAAATAAGAGCTGAAAGCGAGATGTAGTAGACCACTAGTGTTGGAATTCGAGAATGTGAAAATATTGTGTAGCTGTGACACCTCAGTCAGCTTTTCTCAGTATCAATAGTAGTCACTCAGATGGAATTCTTTGTTGTTGTTGATACTATGTTGAAGTAGTCAGAACTTGAGCCTGATAATAGCATTAAGTCAGAAATTGAAAAGAACCTTCAATATTGACATCTTCACTGCGAAAAACCTGAGATTATGAACCATGAGAATGTCCTGAAAACTCGGTCATTTCCGGCACATTTCAATCGAATTCTTGCTCTGGATGTTCGGTTCTGGAAATCTACACAAAATCTGTAGGTTTCCTGCACATTTCAACTAGATACTCAAGAAGGACTTGGTCGTTTTCTAGAGTCCTTTGAGTTCGCATCAACATGATTGATTATTTTAGTATTTTAGTTAACTTGTAAATAGAATAACTATGTAGGTCTCGAAAATAAACCAAATTATTATTCTTCGTATTACACCACCAACTCAAAAATGACTTCCCTTACTCAAGACGAATTTGAACAATCTGAAATATCCACTCAACTTGTCCTGAATGTCTTAGGTTCATTTGATGTTGGCCTATAATCAGGGTCATCCTCATTGTCAGACATAGCGTTGATGATGAATGCTGCATCATATTTCGGGTCAGTGTATGCCGATAGAGGCCGTTTGCATTTGCGTTGGTCACATTTCTAGCACAGGTAAGCTTATAATTGATTCTTATCAATTCAAACTCACTGATTGTGCACGGGAATTTCTGTGTGCTTTAGATACAGGTACACTGATGGCAATTTCATCGTCATCATCATCAATTAATTGAGCTGCCTCAGACTCTTTCTCACGTGCTTGGACCTTCTGTGTATTGAGACAAAACTGGCGTGACATGTATTGGAAACGTAGGTGGATTCATTGTTTGAGGTCCTTGGGAAGTAAGAGTCAAAGCATCCTGGATATGGTGGGAAATTCTGCAGGTGCGTTGTTGACTATCCAAGATTGTATTGCAACTAAATTGCTACTGTTCGTGGCTTCATCTGCTAGCATTTTCCTTTGAACCGAAGGAACGGCTGATTTGTAGCTTGATCAACAGGCCACATACTTTTCCTGATAGAGGAGGGGAAATTGGGTAAGTGTTTTGCTTCCGGTTTATCTACACCCATTTTTCTCATGAACGCTTCATTTATAGCATCCTGTTGATAGCTATAGGTTAGTTTTTTTTATTGTAGTGTTTGCATAATATATTTACTCACCTTGACAATTTTTGAGTCAGCCACTTCAAGGCTTATAATCTCTTTTTGTTCCGGTGGCAGGGTCTCTAAATCAACATTCGACAGATCAATGTTGGAAAGGGAAATATTGGTGTCGGTAAGTGACTGTGTTGTGCTTGCATCATTGTTATTGACTTGTTCGGTTGCCTGGTCCTCTCCATCATTGTCGTACTCCACACATTCTACACCCAAGTTTTTTTTCAAGAAGTCAACCTGTTTTTTCAGGTTTTCAATGTTGGCTTTCATCTGCAGATTGTCCTGCTTCAAGAGGAGGTTTTTGGCATTCAGAATCTTGACATTTTTGTCTGTTAGATCCTTGAATGCAAGGTGAGTAATCTTCATCTCTTCAATGTCTCTTACAGCCGCTTTGAGTAACACAATATTTGTGTTAGGTGCTTGTTCGGCTGATGGAGCTTGGAGTGTTGTGTGAGAGGACATCTGGAGTATTTTTTGGGGGGGCCATAAAGAGATGGTGGCATTAGTTTTATGCTATGTACATGTAGGAGGTCATGTAAACTATACAGCGACATTTTCTTTGCTGTCTATCAAAGTGCAACTCAGAGAAACAGGAAGATATTAATCTATATTGAGGGATCAGTGTCAGTTTCTATTATGTAATACTCAAGGATAGCGAAATGATAATACCTCAATATTGGTAACTCCAGATTACAACAAAGAGTATTGTGGTGTAAATCCAAGTAGAATCCAGTGAACGCTGGCGGCACAATTTGTGCATTTGGTATTCATTCAAGCCAATTAATATCTGGTGAACATCTGGTTGAAACGCGGCGGGAATCTGCGGATGTTCGGGACATTCCCATGTTGCATAATTTGGGTTTTTTCACAGTGCTTGTTGTGCCCTGGCCATGAATGTAGTAGGATAGTGAATTTTGACTGAACCTGTAAGATAGTCGCATCAGCCGCTTGATAATCGATCACAGCACTTAGCACTTCTGGTCTGGAAAATCAGATTCCAGCCAGGTTCAATCCGATGTGATACAGTTGATTGTATCATAATGCATTGCCTTGTAGTGCATAATTCTGGTAATGCATCGACTTTTTGTGAATCCCACAATGGGGTGCGGGGAAAATGAAAAAATATGCATAATGCATAACAGATTGTACTGTAGGCCTTGTTATGCAGTATTAGATGGTAATTTGGGTGAATGGACTCGGTGCAATGTTCGGTTCACTACCAACCATTGTCCTCTATGCATATGTATACTGCTTGAAATTGGGCTTCTGTACAAAAAACCAAATTTGCACCTATGCCTATTGCCGAGAAACGAAAACCTCGCGACAAGCCTTGCCCATACAACCGCCAGCTGAGAGCGGCGAAAAACAAAGATGCACCTGCAACTTCTGCAAAGCCTCCAGTGCAGAGATCAAGACAGAACCTTACACTAGGAGACTGGCTTACTGTCTTCACCTACATTGATACCCACCCCAATACACCACAAGCAGACATTGTTGCACACTTTTGCACCTTGAAATCAGGAGCGCTGATCTTTACACAGTCAGCTTTATCACAGAAATTGAAGGATCACATCGCATTGGAGGCTCGCATCAATGACAATCCAAGTGCTTTGTCAGCAAAACACCCGCGGATTGTGACAAGACCTGATGTTGAGAAGGCCTTAGTCCTGTGGATCCAGAGCATGGAAGCCAGGGGCGAGCACTTTATTGGGCCAATGCTGAAGGAGAAGCAGAAGCACTTTGAAGATAATTGTCAGGTGCCAATTGAGGAGCGGCTGATAGGTGATGGATGGGATGCATCCTTTTGTAGGACCTACAACATCCAAGAGTATCGCCGGCATGGTGAGGCAGGGTCAGTTGATCTTGATGCAGTCAGTGCCGAGCGTGAGCGGTGCCAAAAAATTCTCTTGCAATTTGCTCCGAGAGATTGGTGGAATTTTAACGTAACAGCCTTATTTCCATTGTGAGTTTTCTAACTATGCATGGCATTCTAGAATCAAGCTGATAAGATTATCTCACAGTGCTCCACCAGACCGAGGCCTCGCAACAAAGCAAATGAGTGGGAAGAAAAAGGAGAAGTTCCGAATCTCCGTTGGTCTTGCATGCAATGCAGATGGGAGTGAGAAGTTTGAGCCCATTTACATTGGGAAGTCAAGAAGGCCATGCTGCTTTAAAAAGCAATCACCAAAGCAGCTTGGTATTTATTACCGGAATAATAAGAAGGCCTGGATAACTACTGCACTGTTTGAAGAGTAAGGCATGCCCACATTTAGTGTCATGAGAGTGCTAATTGCAGTATACAGATGGATGAAGCATTTTAATCTCAAGATGCGAAACAAGAACCGTCAGGTCTGCCTATTTGTAGATGGCTTTTCTGCACACAAGCTATCATACCAACCAACTAATGTTCGGATGGAGGTTTTCAAAGCAAATATGACTTTGTTTGTGCAGCCATGTGATGCAGGCATCATCTGCTGCTTCAAGGCTGGATATAGGAAGACTTACTGTGCAAAAGCACTTGACCTTGATGAAGCTGGCAAGAGGGACATTTATTCAATCAATTTACTTGAAGGTATTTTGATGGCGAAGGCTGCTTGGGAAGCAGTTACATTGACTACTATCCATCACTGCTGGGATCACAGTCAAATTCAACCGTATGTCAAGATCTGATTTTAATTGCTCTTGTTTTCAAGTTCTAGCTATTCTTTGCACAGAGATCCCTCCATTCCAACAACTATCCCATATGATGATGTGTTACGCTTGGGATATGCAAGCCTGGTAACACTGGGTTTCAGATATATAAGTGGTTTCTGATAAGCTCGTTGTGGACGAGTTTGAGATGTATTCTGATGATGAGGGTTTCAACTGATGAATATCAAGTTACACTGTTGAAGCGTACAATTGTATTGGAGATAGTAACTATAATACAGGTCTGTATATATAGTGTCTACTTTAGGGTAGGCATTTGTGTTGAACAAATGAGGACGGGTGATACTGAAATAGGCAATGTGTATGGGAAGGTATATGCAGGTAGCGGAGTGTAGCTACTTGTGAAGGGAAATAAAGTCTATGGTTAAGTACAGTTTGTAACATTACCCCCTTTTTAGGTTTAGACTGCTCCAAAGTCTCCTAGTTCTCCGTCTACATTATATTGTGCGTCTTCGTCAAGATCATTGTGTTCGTTGTCTAATCCCCAAGAGTCTGCCACAAAGGGTAAGTTGCATTGCCGGTTGCACTCATTAGCTCGGTGTCCGGGCACGTCTAAACCACACATAGAGCAGGTATGGCATCGGCAGTAGATGGCACAATGGCCATATTCTTGACAGGCATAGCAATGTCGGATATGAGGGCGACGGCGTCGTTCAGAAGAGGATTGCGATTGAGTAGGATTAGAGTGGTCGGAGATGGGTGAGGGCCTTTTGCTCCCTCGCAAAGAAGCCGAGGTAGCTCCTTCATTGCTCCTCAATGGCCTTCTAACCTGAGGCGACTCATTGCTTGACATAGGTGTCGACCTCCTGTTCGACTCCTAAGAGCGATTTGTGTGAGCAGGTGTGCACCCCAAAGGGATAAGGAGTACCCGCTCTGGGCGCTGCCTGCATAATTGGCGACTGCAACAAGGTGGAGGGAGTTGGAGGAGGGGTGTTGTTGGACGCGTAGGAATCAATATGACTTGCAATTCTTCTACTGCATTGGCTTTGGGGACTATTGAGTCAGTTGCGAAGGAATGAGTTGGGGATGATGGAGCGGGCGCAGGTAGAACAAGATCTGGCGGAGATGGGGGATATGCTAGTTGAGGCGACTGCGGTGAGGTTGGGGGGTGATGACCTGGAAAAGGGTGCCCCGTTGTTGCGGGAAGGCTCAGCAAATCTGGGGGAGGGGAGGTGAGGTACCCTCGTTGAGCAAGAAGGTTCTTTGCGTCAGTGCATACGGTTTAGCCACCTGGGCGTAGGAATGCTTTGACCGCTCCTTTCTCTCCATTCTCGCAATTCTTCCTCAAGCGTCATTCTATGGATTCTATCTGCAAGTGTTCCATGAGCAAAGTTGCTCCAGTACTCAATACGGAATTGTTGTCCCGTGTAAGCTCATCTACCAACAAACCCAGTGAGACGGTGACTGCGTGTAGTTCATCAGCAACAAGGAGTGCGTTTTGCCAACGATGAAACGTGTCCAGTGGGTATGTGGCGGTAGGGCATATAATGTTAGACTGGTGAAAAAGATAAAAGTAGGCGCGCCTATCTGACATCAGTTCGGTGGCGTCAACGATGTTGGTTTGTTCACGAGTGAGGGCTAGGCGGTGTGCCCATTGGGCTTCGGTGAGTACTTGGGGTTCAGCGAGGTATGGGGGAAAACGGGGAGAATGGGTTTGTTGGTCGATGGGTGTGGTCTGAGACATGGTATTTTTGGAAAGTGATTGTGAGAGGGAATCCTGTTAACTTGTTTCACAGCTTGTGTCTTCTTTTATATTCGTTCAGGATTTTGGAAGCATTCCGTAGATTTGCTTCTTCTTCCCAGGAGTTTTCGGCCAATGGGTAGTCCTTCCATTTGACTAAATATAGGTATCCTCTTTGGTTCTTTTTGTTACGTAGAATTGCTTCTACTTTGTATTCTTCTTGGTCATGATTATCTCCGCTGGTGGTCTGATGTAGTTTTCTCTGTGGGCTTCAGTTTGTTTGTACGGTATTAGAAGGGCGGCGTGGAATACGGGATGGTTTTTCCATGTGTCTGGGAGTTTTAGTCAGTAGTTAACTGGTGATATTTTTTTCAAGGATGATAAAGGGTCCTTCTTGCTTCCAATTGAACTTTCTGTAGGGTGTTCCTTTCTTTTTTAGGTTAGTTGCTTCTAGCCAAACCTTTTGTCCCTTTGTAAACGTAGGTAACGGATGTTGTGAGTTTTTTGCATATGTGCTCTTGCTAATCCGTGAGCTTGCAAGGCTATAGTTCTTGCTTCTAATAAACTAGATAGTCTTTTGCTTACGGCCGGTATGTTGGTTGTTATTGGTGTCGAGGGGAGATCCCTAGGATGGTATCCCATCATGAGGTAGAATGGGGATTTGTTCCGTGCCAAATGTGGTCTATGATTGTGATCCGTAAATATGTTTCTATCTCTTGGTTTACCCTTTCTGTTTCTCCATCGGATTGGGGGTGGTATGCCGTTGATAGATTAACTCTGGTCTTGAGTAATCTGGCTAGTTCCTTGGTAACTTCTGATGCAAACTGTGGTCCTCTATCGGATATGAGTTTGTTGTGTAGTCCAAATCTTTTGAACACGTGTTGGTGAAATAGTTTAGCTAATGCGTCAATAGTTTTCCTGCATGGTGATAGTATTACCCCCTTTGTAAGGCCGTGGTCTACCACAACCATGAGGCTGTTATATTTGTTGCTTTCTGGCAGATCTGTGATGAAATCAACGGAAAGGTTTTTGAATGGTTTGGTCGTTTTTGGGCCCAAAATTGGTCGGATGGGTATTTTGATCGGGTTGGTAATCACCTTGCTTTATTGGCATGTGGCACACCCTGCGACATAATCTTTGATCATTTGTGTCATACCTGGCCAGTAGTAATATCTGGTTACTAATTGGGTTGTCTTCAGTTGTCCAGGATGTCCAGCTGTTACCAAATCGTGCTGTTGTTGAATACATGCTCTTCTCTTGGTTCCGATGGGAATATAACGGCGGTTCTTGTAGAACACATTGTCATCTTTGATGGTCCAATCTTTGGGATCCAAGTGCATCGGTAATTTGCTCCCTTCGCGTAAACTGTTTTGTATGTGGGTGAAAAATGGATCTGTGGTTGCCACTGCGGCAAAGACGGTTTTTGGGAGTAGTGGTGTATCTTGTTCTTCTTCTTCTGTGTACAGGTCCGGTTTTCTGGATAGATTTTCCGGGATTGTCATTTGTGTTCCTGGTATGTGTTTCAGGGTATAATTGTACTGTAAGAGTAGAAGTTGCCAGCGTCTTTGTTGTGGTGTCAATCTTCTGGCTTCTTGCCAGTATGTGAGATTTTTGTGGCCGGTTAGTATCTCTGTTGTGTGGGCACTGCCTAGGATATAATGTTTCCATTCTTCTAATCCTCTGATGACAGCGAGCAGTTCCTTGTCGTATATTTGGTAGTTCTTTTCAGCGGGGGACAACATTTTGGAGAAGAAGGCATATGGATGCCATACTCCATTGTCATCTGGCTGGTTTAATACCGCCCCAGTTGCGTGTTTGGATGTGTCTGTTGCAATTTGGGACGGTTTGTTCGGATTGGGTATCTGAGTGACCGGTGATCTGCTAAAACAGTATTTCAGCAGTGCAAATGTGTCTTCTTCGGTTTTTGTCCAGTTCCAAGTTTTTCCTTTTTCCAGTAAAGCATTGAGTGGCTTAGCGAGTTCCGAGTAGTGGCCAATGAATTTGCGGTAGAAGTTGCCAAATCCAAGGAACTTTCGCACTTTGTGGATGTTGGTTGGTGTAGGCCAATTTTGGATTCCAGCTAGCTTTACTGGGTCCATTTGCACCTGGTTGTGACGGACGATCATGCCGAGATATTTGATTTTGGCTACATCAAACATGCATTTTTCTAGTTTCAGGTATAGGTCGTTTTTGCTCAGGTGTTGCAATACCCTTTTTGTCCATAGGCAATGTTCTTCTGGTTCTTTGCTGAATATGAGCATATTGTCCATGTATATGATAAGCCATCCTTTGTCTATTATGTCTGCAAAAAGGACATTCATCATGTGTTGGAAAGTGGCCAGGGAGTTGCACATGCTGAAGAACATTACTATGGGGTTGAAGAGTCCTTTTCAGGTTTTGAATGCCGCCTTCCATTCATCTCCTTCTTTTATCCTGACATTGTTATATCCCCAACGTAGATCTAATTTTGTGAAGTGGGACGTCCCATGGAGTCGGTCTATGAGGTCGGGGATCATGGGTAGTGGGTAGGGATCTCGGACTGTTTGTTCATTAAGTTGTTGGTAGTCTTGGCATGGTCACAAAGATCCATCCTTTTTGTCTATGTAAAAGAAGGGGGAAGCCATCAAAGATTTGCTTGGTCTGATATATCCTTTCCAAAAATTGTCGTCAAGGAACTCTTCGAGTGCGGTGTTTTCTTTTGGTGATAATGGGTAGATTTTACAATCCTTTGGTTTAAACTCCGGTTTTAGGTTTATGGCATGATCATAGATCCTTCTCTTGGGTAGTCTTTCCAAAGCCTTTTTGTTAAAGACCTGTGCAAACTCTTTGTAGGTTTCGGGTAGTTCCGTTATCTTTTTCCCAATGTTGTTCTGGATAGCTAATTCCATTGCAGTGTTGGTTTTTGCAAAGATCCGTGTTTCGTGCACATAGTTGATTAATAGTTCTGCTTGATTGATTGTGATGGTGCGAATCATGGATCGGTCGGAGTGTGATTGGATGGTGCGAATCATGGATCGGTCGGAGTGTGATTGGATGGTGCGGATGGCGTGTTGGGTAACCACGCTTTTTGACGTCCAGTCTATTGTGGGGTTAACCTTGTGGAGCCACGGGTATCCTAGGAGAATGTCTTCTCCTCCTAATCCGGTGATGAGGAATTTGCACATGGCATTCCATCAGGAAAAATGGGGGTAGCTATATAGAGCTCTATAGCACTATAAGTACTCATAAAGCTATTATAGTGGTCAAACCTGTTATAGAACCTCTGCCATCTATAGAGCCTCATATAGCTCTATAAATGCTCTTATAGATGTTGGAAATTGTTGTGTGGCTGATTGAAAAAAATTAACACAAACAGGATTTGAACTCTCAACCTGCTAGTCAGCTTTTGGGTGACTAAGCAACCTACAGCCACACATCACATTTATCCACTACACCATGAGAGCTTATAAAATGTATTATACAGGTGTTATATATTGACCTTTCATGGACTTAGATTATTTCTTTACTCATTGTCACAGTTCGATTGCAAGAGATGGGGAAAATATTTTAATATTTCATTCAGTCTTTCAGATTACAACTGATTACCCTGTCTTTTGTACTATAAAATAAATTTAAGTGAAACTCAGCCGCTGCCTAAGAGGCTATAGAAACGACTGAGGTATTCCTATACTAAACCCCCTACTACTTATAGTCGGAGGTGCTACTCGCTACAGTATAATGACTCTTAGGAGTACAATGGTGACTCCATGGAGTTCAGCCAACAATAGCTACCAGCTACAACTCGGAGGTCACTGGTCATTGAACATCCTAAACAGATCCTCTTGATTTCAATCCTGCGCCAATATCTGACCTCGTATATACAGTGACTCCAAAAACCCTTTCCATATTTACTCTGGGTGTTATGCATGAAGCATACCATCAAACAGCTTGAGTATTACACTTAGCTTTGGTGGAATTATAAATAGTACATACTCTTGACTATAAAATTGCCTCATAGGCATAGGTCATGCAATTTGGTTCAGATGCTATAGAGATATGGGTAATTTAAAAAAGCAACACCATGGAAAGGGTTTTTCACTTTTAAACTGATGACTAGAATCTTAGTTAAAACATTGAATATTTGCCATTATGTGTTGGTACAAACAAAGATATATATACACATAGTATGTCTGAGTTTAAAAAAGTTCACACACTTCTTGACTCTCAACCATCATCATGGTCAGATCCCTCCCTCTTACTCAAAAAAGCTTTCATTGCTTGATGCTGGCTACTCTGATGAAGCCATTGCCAACCAGACTGGTGTTAGCCTTTCTACTATATCCAAATTTTACTCCAAAGAGCATTCTACCCTACCTAAAGCTATTGGAGGTCGTCCTTCCAAGCTTTCACCTACCAATATCTGACATGCCCAACATCTTATTACTTCTGGCAAAGCTGAAAATGCTGTTGAAGTGACCAAAGCCCTTACCAGAATCATCAACCAGCCCCTCTCATCCAATACTGTTTGGTCTCATTTGAAGAAATCTGGTATGAAGGCTGTGGTGAAGTCCAAACACCCTCTTCTCTCTACTAGGCATCACAAAATTCATGTGGATTTTGCCTATGCCCACAAGGATTGGACTTTGGCGGACTTCGAAAGAGTAATATGGTCCCAGATAACCTTCTCCCCTACTCTATGTCCACACCTGACATGCCTGACACACCAGAGCGCCCAAAGTTTTCCTATAGTGATCCTACCTATGTTATTGATCTTCATTTGACACCAATCTTCCACCTAGCTTCTACGGCCTCCCAAACCCTCTGAGATGAGCTAGCACATGGTATATTTTGATGGGATCTATCTCATAATGACTGACTATGATGCATACAGCTGAATGCCACAAGCACATGGATTTATAGAGAGAACATCACACTACGTACATAGGCACTTTCAGCAATGGTAAAAAACTGGTGCCGAGTATTACCAAACTTCAAGATATGGCTAGTGTGCACAATCACATCTC